AACACACCCCATCTCAGACTCCTCCTTTGTTTGGCAGGGGTTGGTAACTGTCCCATTTTGGGAATATTGGACGTCACCTTATAGTAGCCATTATAGACCATATACCTAATGGTTGGGTGATGTTCAATGGGGACATTTAATGACCCATGTTTGGAGACTTTTTCCTGCTAATTTCGATTGCACGGCTCAGTCACTATGATCTCAAGATATCTCAAGCCTTATACGCTTGCAGTCGACAAGGATCCACGACTCACTGGTGATCTGGCTCTTGCATTTTCCGGACACAGGCATTTTGGCTCCTCTCAAAGCACCCTCGGTATCTACATGAAGCTGGAAGGTGATGAACAAATTAAGTTTCTGGGACTACATGACTGTTAACTAGTTGCAGCGAGCATCAGCACCAATGATAGGTTGCTGCTTCATTTTCGTCCATCAAAGCTTGGGGGTGTTTAGAGATCTCTCAAGTTTCGTAACTTATTTTGTCCAATGGTTTGCCATGCTGTTTTTGTTGATCCTTCCCTCTCCGTTGCCACAAAAAATCTTCGGAGCGCCATGGCCCAGACTTCCATCCGTGCCTCCGCTCTCTCCTTGACTGGAGGTGCGGTTCTGTGATGTTTTGTTAAGGAAGGGATTGTTTGAAGGGAAATTATGGAACATCTATATGTGGGGTTCCAAAGTCATGGGGGTACCCCAACAGCTGGGTGGTTGATTTCATGGAAAATCCTATTAAAGTGGATGATTTGGTGGTACCTTCTATTTTAAGAGACTTCCATCTACAGGAAACTATCGATTTTCCATGAAATGTAGGGGTTTCCTACCAAAATGTTGCCTTAAACCAATCCATTGACAGGTGGAATGCTGAAAAACTGCGTAAAGGCGCACTGTTGATCGGTTTAAAGCTTAGATACCGTAACTAGGCATGGTCTTCAGTGGAATTCCACATGTTCTATGATGTTTGAGACTTTCACAACCAATTTTGTTGAAAGAGGGTTGGAATGGTAGGATCGAAAGTTACATGCACCGTTTGTTTGCAGGTGGAAAATCAAATCTCGGCAACAAACAATGTTTGGTTCCATATGTTTCCTATTCAATGTAGGAGTTTTGGTATATTTATTGTTTTTGTTTACATTACATTATACATGATTTTTGAGGTTTAACCAAGACCTCGCTGTACCAAACGTTGAGGACAGAAGTATAGCAACCGATCGTTGTCAGTTACCTTTCGATCTTTTTGGGGGGTTTACTATGTATCATATGTATATATATATACAAGATATACATATGCATACACAAATAAATTGAATATATCCATCTCGTGGTATCACCACCGGCTCTCCCTTCTATTTTCGGAAGGTCCTTCGGAGCGTTTCACCTCCCGCCGATCTCAGTTGCCACGCACTTCCTTCTCAGCACCTCGGTGAAAATGGGATCTACTCACCCAGTCATGTGAAATCCATATCTGGAATCATGGTATATACATGTATGTCATGTGGTATATCATCACTATATATCACTATGGTATATAAAAAAATGGAATAATCATGGTATAATACTGGTACAATATGGTATAATATGGTATAATATTGAATCAAGAACCGAAATACGGCTACCCTCTGGTAAACGTTTACAGAAAACTATGGAAAATCACCGTTTTTGATGGGTAAATCCACTATGTCTATGGCCTTGTTCAATAGCAAACTGTTAAATTACCAGATGGTAATGTGGTAAACCCATTAATGAGATATATATATACATATATATATAATAAGCCATTCCCAAATGGTAGTGCTATTCGTGGCTAAGCCAGCATCATGTTTCCCACAAAAATATTGCCATTTGGGGGTACACTCCAAACCATGGCAAACCCATATGATGAACTGAACAAATATTCCGGAGGAATCATAATCCACCGAATTTGCCAACTGTTCGTTTGATTTAGTGATTTCCAGTGTTAGGAAGAAAAAATGATTGGAACAGATGAAATGAAATCCATCTACTGGGATTTGTCTGAAAATGGGGTCCTAATAAACCATCATACACCCAAACAATTTCCCCACAATGGCCTAAAAAATGCCAATCAATGGGCTATGCTGTACCTCACTTCCAAAGCCGAACAGTTTGTATACCTCCCATGGTTTTTCAACAAGAAAAGCAACCCCCCATTTTGGGGGTTCCAGAAACGTCCTAACCACCTCTGGTGTTGTTTTTCTTGGTGAAATCGGTCGGGTATCTACTCCCAAGGTCGATGCTGTGGTCCAGGAGCGTTTCAAAAAAATGATTCGCTTCAAGCGTGTGCCCGGCCAAGAAAATGGGCGACCTGTGATGGGTAACCCATGGTGACCCCATTTTGTGGCCATGATATCATGAAAAGGATTTTTGTTTACCGCATTTTCCAAATGACCATTTGTGTTAAAATGTTGAAAGAGGATGTCATGAAAAGATTCTTTGAAGATACTGTATATGATATATGGGCTAGTTTGTTTTGGAACCCCTCCGTCTGTCAATAAGGCAGAGGGACAGTGTGGTTGACTTGAGTGGAGCGGTGAGCGGTCTGGTTGTTTGACTGAGCACATGTTTTACCAACATTGACTCAGCAAGTGTTTTGCCAACACCCACATGTTCATGGTTACTCTCATGATGGCCACTTTGGGATACTGTGCGAACAGTGAGAATTATGACAGAACACGTTCTTTTTATTTTCTGCTTGGTGGTTTGGAACACGTTTTTTTTTCCCATAATATATATATGGGATAATCCTTCCCATTGACTTTCATATTTTTCAGAGGGGTAGGTCAACCACCAAGCAGTTTTGCTACCCGGTATCCAAATATGGCATGGCGTGGGATGAAGCTTTGTGGCTGGTCTTTTTGGTCGGGATCTTGAGAAACACAGATGTGGTTGTGACTCAGAACTGCCCCCAGTGGATGTGTGTGCAACTCTTGCATTGGGGAAGCCATGTCCATAATTACATGGGATTATGAATCATCATGAAGACATCTCTCAAAGGTGATGACCATCAGTTTGAAACTAGTGATTGATTTTGAATACCAGAACTTAGTATAACTTAGTTGTATTTCATGTAAGCATCACTAGGTTAGTCAATATGACCATCACTACCCTCTGGTTATGTCAAAATAGCTATTGAAAATGGCCATTGAAATAGTGAGTTCTCCCATTAATAGCATGGTGGATCTTTCCAGTTCGTTTTCTGTAAACGTTTACCAGAGGGTAGCCGTTTTTTGGTTATTGATTCAATATTATACCATATTATACCAGTATTATACCAATGTTTTTTATATAGCATAGTGATGATATACCACATGACATACATTTATATACCATGATTCCAGATATTCATTTCACATGACTGGTGAGTAGTTTAGTCAATATGACCATCACTATATAGTGATGATATACGTTTTGATATGTTTTGATATCCAGAACCGAGGTCATGGCCACCTATGGCCTGTTGAATTCAGACGAAGGCAAGGTGCAAGTTGCGGGTGCCGCTAACGCGGGTGCCGGTTAGAGGGTGAGCAGTTCATTGAAACAGTTGATTGATGATACTAAACTATCATCAGTATGTATAAGATATGTATAGTTTTTTTTAAAAAAAAAACATGATTCATATGGACCATATGGAGTTACACATAAGCTTTACCGAGTGTTTGTTCTCTATATTTGTTTATTTTAAAATAGTTCAGTTTTGATGCGCAATTGAGCAGTGACTAAAATCCTTGCTCAAGATTCATTATACGGGACTATATACGACCCGATTTATTGGGAATTGTTGCAGCACATGATGGGCATCATCTTTAAACAGTCATTATTCCGGGTTTGCATGGGTTTGCAGAGAGTTTTTTTTAATATTCGATTAGGTTTGCCCCAAGACTGACCACATAAACAGATAGTTAGAAGCTGGGTGGTACAGATCCATGTTGTCAATTGCTGTATATGAAATCATAGGGCCTTAGGGTTAAAAACACATGCAAGACAGGAATTGCGGTTGTTGGAATCTGAGGTTCCGATGACGCTTAGCAGATCCTTGTGTTGCTTTCGTTTCCATGACTTGTCATCAAAGAATCGGTTGCCCTGTGATCATCTTGCGAGTTGCACTATGAACAAACTTCTTTCCATGGCTAACACAGTCAGAGACTGCCTTATGTAGATATGTTTTTCAAAATGCATATTTAAAAAAAAAAGTAATAATAATAAGCCAACCATATATTGCATATGTTAATATGTTTTTGAACCGATTTGTACAGACATTTTTAGTGGTAAAAAAAAATGATCCTGGATGTTAAACGTGCCCTTGGAGGCTCGATCGCGTGAAAGGGTGTATCTGGTGGTTCCTGAAATGGCGGTACCCCAATCGCTGGATGGTTTATAAGGGAAAAGCCTAGTAAAATCGATGATTTGGGGGTTGGTGTGCCCTATTTTCGGAACCAAGTATATAGTGTTCTGGAAGAAACTGATGAAAATTTGACTTCTGGAAGGTCTCGAACTTCCATTTGGGTTTACCCAAGAGTGTGATGCCCCATTCCATCATCCAAATCCATCATATGATTCCCCGCTGGGTGCTGGCCTGCAATGGTGCGGGTGCTATCCCCCATTGCAGGATAAACGATAAGCGCCCAAAGTGATGGTTGGAAAAACGGAGGGTCCTTTGTGATGTCACCTGTGCGTTTTTCTGTCCATCCCGGAAAGTCCAATATTTCTGTTATGTCCAGTCTGAATGACTTGTAGCAACAAAAATACAAAGCAATACTGGCCAATGGCCACATATGATTAGGGGGAATACTGTACATATTCTGTATTTTTGGCCTTTTTCGGTGTTACTTCCATTCTTTGTAGAAAAAAAATGGCCACCGGCCTGGCCACCCCGATGATTTCACCAAATGAACCGAGATCTGGCCCCTGAGGATGGCACGGTGCCGCCATGTGCCCCCGATGCCGCAGTCTTTGTGGTTCAAAGTTTGTTGCCTTTTGCTGGGAGCGCCATGTCTCTACACTCGCAGCTATTTGGACGACAAGAATTTTTACGAAGCCGTAGAATGGATGTTGTTTATACCCTTTCTTCAAGAATGGACCTTGACAATAATAGGGCAAACTTGGATTATTTCATGTTATATATATTTATAGATTGGTTATTTTGCTTTGTTGTCGATTTAACGTGTTCAGGTTGATTTTCCATGCAACAAATGGGATGGGGTGATGGATCACTTTTGACCCCATGTTCGGGGTGGCGGCTCAACCAGCCACCTCCAAAATGGATGTGATTTAGCCATGGCATGGAATGATTATAAACCAGATTGAACCAGTCATTGGTACCCTTCAGTCGACTAACATGGATATTAGATGATATTAGGACAAACCAACATTTACCCTCTGGTAAACTAACATAACTATGGAAAATCACTATGTTTAATGGGTAAATCAACTAATGGCCATCTTCCAGTTCGCAAACTGTGAGTCATTACCAGAGGGTTTCTGTGGGTTTGCCCGGAACCGCAACCACGACAGGCAACGCATCATCAGCATCATCATCATCATCATCATCAAACCCTTATTGAAGATCTTCAATGAATGTAGTGGAAATTTAACAGGGGTGGGAGAATCAACCCTTCTTGAAGATTTTCAATGAATGTAAGTTTAACGGGGTTGGGAGAATTGAACCCTTATTGAAGATCTTCAATGAATGTGGAAGTTTGACGGGGGTGGGAGAATTAAACCCTTATTGCAGATCTTCAATGAATGTAGTGGAAATTTAACAGGGGTGGGAGAATCAACCCTTCTTGAAGATTTTCAATGAATGTAAGTTTAACGGGGTTGGGAGAATTGAACCCTTATTGAAGATCTTCAATGAATGTGGAAGTTTGACGGGGGTGGGAGAATTAAACCCTTATTGCAGATCTTCAATGAATGTAGTGGAAATTTAACAGGGGTGGGAGAATCAACCCTTCTTGAAGATTTTCAATGAATGTAAGTTCAACGGGGTTGGGAGAATTGAACCCTTATTGAAGATCTTCAATGAATGTGGAAGTTTAAAGGGGGTTGGAGAATTATTAAACCCTTATTGAAGATCTTCAATGAATGTAGAAGTTTCCATTGTTGATCTTCCCAACGCTTTTTGCATGCAGAGTTGCAACAAAATTTTATTGGGAATGGGGAACCTCTACGCTGCAACGCCTCGGCAAAGTATGTCGCCCCAACTCATGACAGGGTCTATGGCTGTTGGCCATGGCTTTAAGCCGTAACTTCCCCGTCTAGGGCAGAGGGAAACCCTCATCCCAACATTTCGATGTTCCACAGTCAGTCCCATCTTTATTGTGGTTACCTCCAATCTATGGATGAACTAAAACTAATCCGGATAAGTTGAATGATCATCTAAGTCAGTGGGATTAGAAATTCTAATCATACAACATATTTATTTAACCGTTATAAACCGCTTACAATTTGTATCATCAGACTTATTCACCACGAAAAACTAACTGTGGTGCCCCCAAGATATCAAGATATTGGTAAACATAACATCTGTATGTCGCCGACATCCAATAGATATAGGACTTATGGTAGATATATGGGTTTGGACCTGAAAATGTTGGGTATATTCCCAATGAAATAGACATTTAAAAACGGGATAATGATCAGCAAAACCATTGGGTTTAGGGGTACACTATTTTCAGACACACCCATATCTATCATTCCACTTATTCACCACTTGCGGTCCATGACATGATCTTTCAGGATTCCGGTGGTGCTTCTGATACCAACGCTTCTGTCTGTTGCATCCGCAGCTGACACCTTGCAGGAGAAGCCTTGGGATCTAGTGACCACCGGGGAAATGGCGGTGATAGCAACCCAGCCTTAAAAAGATAGAATTTCACAATCCTCCTGCTATAGATATACTGGTTGGTGCTTTAGAACATTTTCTATTTTTCCATAGATTGGGAATAATACTCCCATTTGACTAGTATTTTTCAGAGGGGTTGAAACCACCAACCAGAAGGTTGAGGAAAACTAGGGAAAAGTCAACTTTATGTGTTTGGGATTGGAGAAAACATGAATTTGATATCACTTGATGCCCAAACCGTCCAACCAATCAAGTTTGATGAAAAATGTGTCAAAGTCCCAATTGGAATCAAATATTCATTTTATCTCCAACGTGTCCCAACTTTTGAGAAAACATGCATATTGTTGAGGAACAATATTACTTGCCTGAGCAAAACCAAGTTTCTTCCCACTTTGGGCATCCGCTAGGAGTGTCGGGCCAATACCGGCGGCGCCTGCAACCGAACCGCTGGATCCATATTTCTACAGCAACATCAGCGTGCACGTCGGAGTGATCTGCAGGGTGTTCTAGCAAGTTGCCTGGCGAGGGATTTTGGATGACAAGACATGTGCAGCCCAGCAATCGTAAGTCGGCTACACTCTCTGGTAATGTAACATAGCTATGGAAAGCCTCCATTTTGAGTTGGTAATTCACCTAGAAACAGGCCATGTTCCATGGCTATGTTAGTTTACTGGAGGGTATCATGTTAGATCCCACTAATGTGTAAATCCCATGATAAACCATCCCGAAAAATCACATAACATCACCCTTTTTGTGGGATTTCAACCACCCCCAACTGGTAGGTTTATGGATTATGGCAGCCAGGGTTTCCCACATTCTATCCCTTATATAACATTATATAATTGGGATGAACTGGGGATGTTCCACTCCCTATAATTGGGATAGACCCTCGATTAGAACCAAAGTGAGCCCGATTTTGGACGGGTTATCCGTGTGAGTCCCTAGTCCTTCGGGTTTTAGTCTCTAAATTTTAGCTGGACATCGACAATGCAATTGCTGCTACATTGAGCTTCTTGTGAGTACTTTCAGGGTCTAGGCAGCATTGACTCCGGAAAGCAGCGAAAAATTGCAGACTGTCACCCGCTAGCAATCTGGCGGTCTGACACACCACCTGTGCCATAGCCAAAAGTTGGATTACAATGATTACATACCTATATTCGATCATAATATTGATTGATCGTCATTATATAATAGATATCTTTTTACAGACGAGTTACCGTTAAAATGGTTCAAACATGTTCGCCCCCAAAAGCGATAACGGCACAAAACACCGCCAAGCGAGATGGTGCCCCCCAAAAAAGCGATCATCGACAATAGAGACTACTGATATGTAAAGGATTGTGACCGGAGCTCATATGGATTTATAATGGATATATAATGATATAATATATATACCAATTATACGGGATGGATGACCATAACCCATATACCATGTTCGAACGTCTCCCGAGTCTGTTTCATGTTGTGCTGATGCTGCCAGGTGCTTGTTCATCTTCAGTTGAAGATTGCCGAGACACAGGCAGGCAAAGTGTCAAAGTGGGAGTTCTCCATTTGGCGGTTACCAATGATGATACAGATGAGCCATTAATAACCTCGGTTGGTTGATTTAGGTAGTTGTACTGAATGGCTTCTTGGGGGTCAATATATTCCGTTATTCCGTTAGGGATACCACTGTACAAACCAGGATAAAGGGAGGCAGGTGTTGAACTGACAACGTTCGTAAATCCTGTTTCCCTGATATGAAATACTTCTCCATATTGAGAGTTTCCATAAATGGTGATAAATGGGGATTAAAATGGTTGGTTTATAATGGACAATCCCATTAGAATGGATGATCTAGGGCACCCCTATTTTAGGAAACCTCTATATGGCCCCTTGTAGATATTTGGCATGAGAAGCACGGGGATCAGCGTGCTGCTGCTCTGGCTGCATCTGGAGAACATTGTTGTTCTATAGATTAATCCCTTCCCCCTAATACTAACCCCCCCGCCCCGCCCAAATAATAAACACCTCAGGTAGTTTTTATTATTAAGGGTGTATTCATTATTAGGGAACCCTATTAAGAAATTTAAAACCTTAATAATAAAAACTATTTTTTGTGATTTCAACACCAATTGAATATAACGCAATTAAAATATTGCCAATAATTGGATTTCGATGCGGACCCTATTAGTAAAATTAAAACCTTAATAAAAACTAGCTTGTGCGATTTCAAAATCAGTTAGATTGCCTTATATAACGCAATTAACATATTGCAAAAACATGGATTTCGAAGCGGACCCTAACAATAAACACCCCGGGGTTATATAACTAGTTTTTATTATTAGGGGGCAAAACCCACAAATGGTAGTTTTAGTTTTAAATTGTTTTCTAAAGGGGATCAATTAAAAGTCAAATTGGCCAATCTGAAATTTTCCGAAATTAGAGATGGACCTTAATTTTGAGTATTTGGGGGACGTGTGGTAATAGGGGGAAAGGATTATATTGCGATGCTCTCATTGATGATAGCTAGTAACCCCCAAAGATAGGACCAGGGTAAATTCTGTGAAAATAATGGTAAATCCCATTAAAGTAGGTGTAAACCCTATTAAAATAGTGGTAAAATTCTCAGATGGTGGTACCCCCCAAATCATCCCAACGAATAGACCACATGGTGACTTGGGGATCCCCCATTAAAAAAGAGACCCCCAGCTGTTGATTGACTTAGACCTTCTACAGGATGGGGCCCCCCAGTGATGTTTGTTGGTTTATAAACCATGATAATCCCCATGAATACTATAGTTATATCTGCCATAAACCACAGAATTCAACCATTTATAAACCAACTGAACGCTATCGACTGGGGGCCCCATCTTCTAGTCTATACTTGATGACTTGATTACAATGAAGGATGGCATCGAGCCGACCCCACATCGCTGAAAATCCAACCAGAACAACGGCTGGTTCAGTTTTTTTTCTATATAAATCCATCCAAATCAAGAACAACATATTGTGCCATCTATCTCACACTTTGCATCAGTCATTCCACTCCTCAGACTCTGTTCCTGGAATTCTTGTGAGGGCTGGTTTACTATTGCTTTACCCACATTAGAAGCTAGACAAACTGAGCAGGGGAGGTGACTGCCAAGTTGAGGATGCTGCGAAGACACGGGCTACACCTGCTTTGAAAAGAATCAGCTGCTCAGCGACAGAGCGGGCTGTTGGGGATGTGCATAACAGGAAGGGGCTCACTAAAAAAAAAGTACTGTAGAGACTAGAATGCAGCTTAGATAGTTGGTTTATAAATGTTTATAGATGGTGACCAATAGATACTATTTGCCTCCTAGATGGTAGGTTGATTTCTAGATGTTTATAGCTAGGCTAACTTGCTTCGGGACCATCTGTGGAGGGAACACCCATTGACCATCTACTTTCTACCTTGAGGCTCGTTCCAAATCAGAATCCAGTTATGGATAAGAAATTGGGATAACTTCAGGACTTATATGCATGTCTGATTAGAGGCATTCATATTTAAGCTGATTCCCTTTAAACATTTTGTTTAACCCAACCATTTCATACAGGATGGTGCCATGAGTTAAGTTGGACTTATGGGCTTTTAGAACATTAAATATACAATTATACAATGAATTTGTCAAGGGACTTATGGGCTTTTGACACTTAGGTACCTTGTACATTATATATATACATTAAATATAAAATGATTTATATGTCAAGGCACCTCATTGTACAGATCCGTCCATGTTCCTCTCCATACGCCAAGGTATTGGGCCTCCTGTCGCCAAAGCTGCGAACCGGGAGAAGTCAATCCCAACGATGATCCAGAGACTCGGTGCATAGGCCCCCCCTTGGATGGTCGAAACAGGGAGGGTACTGAATTTGAAGTTGAACTTACCCGGCCTGGTAAACATACAAACATAGCTATTGAACATGGCCATAGTTGATTTACCCAGCTATAAAATGGTGATGTTCCAGTTCGTTATGTTAGTTTACCAGAGGGTATTAACTATGAAACATAGCGAAAAATGAGGTATTTGACCATAGTTGATCCAATGAAGAATGGACTTGGGTGCGTCGGAAAAGAGGGTACATCATGTGATAGGGTGTTTTAATGCGGTTTAATCGGGAAACTGCTGATGAGTCACTGGAATTCGGGGGGTACCCTTTTTTCAGACAAATTCAGTTTTATGTTTCGATGGCCTATTTTGTCCACGTTAAACCCCAGACCCCCACAGATTGTCAGGAAACCCCACAGATTGTCGGGAAACAATCACCAATTTATTGCCACAACATCGCCATTTCAGTATACTCTATGTTACTGGCAAAATTCCATTCAGTACTTCAGTACTTCCCCAAAAAACCTTGTTAAATCATGTGAAATCCACATAAATCCTATGTGTTTCATGGGAAAAGATGGAAAATCCATGAAAATCCCATAGGTTTCTGCCCATGTTCTGCCCATGAGTTCTCTCCAAGGACTACCGGACGCCCTGGACCTGCACCGTCTTGGATGGCTCCACCGGGACCACCGGGACCACCACCGGGACCACCACGGGCACCACGGGGGTGAACCCGGCGCCGGGGCGAGTGCTGGTCACCGGCCACGCGGGGTCCGGTGCCTTGATTCTTTGAGCTGGTTGGTGGTAAAAAAACATGGCTGGTTGGTGGTTGGTGGTTTCAAACATGAATTTTAGTTTCCATATATTATGGGATAATCCTTCCCATTGGCGACTTTCGATTTTTTTCAGAAGGGTGGCTCAACCACCAACCAGATGGTAAACCATCTATAAATGGGCCATTTTCCATGGCTATATGTTAAATAACCAGAGGGTAATAATCTGGGTAAATTTGATCACGACCGAAACCTGTTCTCCCGACCCCTGGAACCATGGTTTATTTTAGGGAATCATCCCCAAATGGCCGCAAGATTCAGGTTACAGTAGTGAATTATTATAATTTGCCCAGAATCATGGTGGTAATAATGGTAATGATGGTAAAACCAGAATGAACCCATGACTGGGAATGGTTGAAATCCCACCAATAAAAATCGTGATGACTGGGGGATGGTTTGTGGTTATGTCATGATGGTAATGGTTATGTTTTTATTCTTGATGGTTGATGGTAATGATTATAATTGATACAACATTGGTCAATGGTGGTAATTTATGGTTAATGATTACTAATGGTTAATGATTACTGATGGTTAATGATGGTTAATGATGGTAAATGGTTCAATAAATCATAAACAATATCACTGAGTATAACGGTTAATGGCGATAATTGACGCTTATATAATGATGGTAAATGTTGGTAATAGCTGGTGGTTAATAATTACTCATGTGGGTAAAACAAAGCCATGTTTTTACCACCCATTTTCCTGGGAATGGTTTATATATACCACCTATAAAAATGGTGATGACTGGGGGATGGTTTATGACATTGTTTTTACCCATATTAACTTTTTCCCATCCTTAAATTAAATTAATGATGTTTAATTATGTATATATATATGTTGCATGAGTGGACATTACATATCATATGTGTCCTATGCGTGATGGACGTGAGCTATGTTTGTAGCGACAGCAAATAGTTTTTTTTGGAACTGACATTGCTGTGGATCAAGCGGGTACAGCAGCAGCGAAGACCAAACTGACAGTCTACACCATCCATTTACGGTTAATGTTGGGATGGTTTACTATGTGTTTAACTAACAGCTAACGGTTTTTGCAAAGCCAACGAGTCATTCCATGTCTTTTCTTAGTACCCATGTGCAAAAGGACCTATCATCATCTGGGGGTCCCCTCTCAAATTGTCAGAGATTATATAACTGTTGTTTAGAAGAATCCCTCTTCAATTCCATGATTCCTATGTGATATGATATACATATATTCCATATTATAGTTATATTCCATTATATCACCATTTAACAGTTGTTGATTAACATATTGTTTCTGTATTTCCATGTTGGATCGTAACAAGCCGGATTTCACTATTCAAAAACACGAGCATTGGATACATATTAATTGTGTACTATGCATGATCAACTCAACACGTTACCATCACCAAGGAATATACGAGTTCTGTACAATAGTTGTCATTAGGATTGATTCGTCAAATTTATTGGTGGATTACGTAAGAAAAAATCATTTTTTAAAAAAAAAATCTTCATAAATTACAGGCATAGTATCTTATAGGTACATTAATTAGCATTGGCCATTGTCCACCAATACTATCAACCATTAATCGCCATTATTCATCATTAATCACCATGGATTATCAACCACTAATCATCATTATTAAACCATACATTATTAAACCATTTCATTGACCATGAATCACCATGAATCACGATAAATCACGATGGTCATTATATCTGTCCATGATCATTAAACCATACCTTGTTAAACCATTATATTGACCATGAATCACCATGAATCCCGATGGTCATTATATCTGTCCATGATCATTAAACCATACATTATTAAACCATTATATTGACCATGAATCACCATGAATCCCGATGATCATTCTATCTGTCCATGATCATTAAACCATAATAAACCATACATTATTAAACCATTATATTGACCATGAATCACCATGAATCCCGATGGTCATTCTATCTGTCCATGATCATCATATTCCCATGATATTCCCGTCATGGTTATGCCATGGCCATTGCTTCGTCGAGGCAAGGCCCGCCTCTTCGAGTTCATCGCTGCGCTGACGGATCAGCCGGTGCCCGGGTCACGGGCCCGCGCCGTGCATTCCTCGGGTGGAGCAGCTGGGGGCGTGGTCAGCGAGAGCCAAGGGTGGCCCGGCAGAGATGTGCTGGGCGTTTCAGTTTCTTTGGAGAAAAAACAAGGATGTAAGAAGCCAAAATGCGGATTTAACCATGGAAACTAGAGATTTGTTGATGTATTTAACTTGCTGTTGGCGCCAAACCCCACGTTCGACCATAACCCACAAGATCTCTCCTCTACTTTCTAAACCAAACATGATCTACACCCTCCAAACACGCTACTCTCTGGCGACACAAGTAAGGACTGTAGCCTGCTGCTTTCAAACAATCCTGATATCCGGATGAGACATCCATAAGTTTAACAGGGACGCTTTCTACTAGGGGAATCTAATCTTCATGAGGGATCAGATCCACCACCCCCTCTCAACAAATATGTTGAATGGTTTATTAACTTCCACTTATCTTCATGAGGGATCAAATCCCACACCCCCTCTGAACTTCACTTGACTTCCGGCACGGTTCAAATGTAGGGTTCAGTTGACTGCCGGCACGGTCAAACGTAGGGTTTGCAGCGAACATGTTTTGACATGATTTAACATGCTTTAATGATTTAAAAAAAAAAAAACATGGATTTGAGCAATGCATCATGGGCTTGGTTCAATAGGGTTTGTCTCAAACTGGGGAATATGGGATGCGGCAAAAGGAGGCTTGGATGGGTAAGACACAAACCATGGTTTATTATGGGGTACTCCCCAATATTTTTTTTTTACTTGAATGGTACCCCCAAACTAAACAGCCGTTTGAGGTTTACAGCACTAATCCAAAGTTGACGAAAAACCCATCTACTGTCCAATTCCGTTTTTGCATGGCATCTATGGCAATATTATACTGTATTTGTTTATGACCATACTCATTTGAGAAAGGAAAACAAACCATGGGGATTTGGGGTATGTCTCTTCTCATTCTTGGACTTGGAGCAAACGTAGGTCTTCGTGTATGTAGGTGATTTGGGATCATGAGGATTGGTCAAAATGATTTCGTCCCTCACGAGATCTGGTTGGAAGAGGTGGCAGTGGTTCAGGGCAAGTTGATTGCCTTTGACTGGCATCAGGTCACTGACGTGTGCAGGTATTCTGGGCGTCGGCAAGTTCAAGCTGCTGACAACGGACAGGTTCCGGCCGACGTTACAACTTGTTACAACAAGATGAATCGAAGGCTTCGTCCGGGCGATCTTCAGGTTATCATCAGTCACATTGAGAGAAGTGAGGGCAATTTGCGTCGAGTCCTGAGAGGAGTTCAGCAGTCAAGGTTACCAGCTTCTTACATCTTCATCACTGAACGACGGGCAGGGATTGGTGGCAAGACTGAGGTGGCACAAAATTTGTTGCGCTCTCTGAATCTCCAGGGCCGGGCCTCTCTTTGTGACGACAACATTGAGGTAGCTGAGGAGTTCTGCCAGGCAGGAGGGACCGTGTTCCATATCAAGAAGCCCAGCCTGAGGGGTCAACGAACAAAACGGGTGATTTCGTTTGTATGGGATGTACATCCCTTCATATTTGAAGGTTGGACACCGAATTAAGTTCTGTTTCGAGTTTCGCAATTAGTCTTGCAGATCTATGCCCAGCCAGTGGCAGATACGGGTGAAAATATAATTTGCTTATATATATATATATCTACCAATCCCACATTATTTCATGGTTAGGCCTCAATTTGACTACGTTGATTTGACATATATCCTCCATTCCCTAAAAATTGATGTTTGGAACCCAAGTTTTTTGTTTGTTTCAACAGTGCGCTTAATTTTACAAGTCAGGGCACTATCAACCATTCCTCAAAATCCAACATTATAGTTTGAGGGTTACCACATTCATGAATCATTATTAACAAATCTAATCAGTATTGCCATTACTAACCAAGATTCGTCATTATGAACCACTTAACCATTATCTGATGATTGTAACCCAAGTTGAATACTCATGATGAACCATTGTTCTTAACCATAAACATCCAGTAACCATTGTTCTTATCTATTAACCATTATCAGAAACGATTAACTACTAACCGGTATGAAGTATTAACATCTATTCACCATAAACATCTATTCACCATAAACATATGGTTATGGATCAATACCTATTAATACCATTTTTAGGGGAATGAACATCCATAAATCCCAGCTATTTTGATGTGAACAAAAGGGGTACAAGGTTTTGACACACTGCCAATATATTCATATACCCTCTGGTTCTTTAACATAGCCATGGAAAATAGGCCATAGAAATAGATGATTTTCCCAGCGAACTAAACCTCCATTTATGCTTGGGATTTTCCATGGCTATGTTAGTCATAACCAGATGGTATTAATCCCTTCCTCCTAATACTAAACGTCCCCCTAATACTAAAAACAGGCATCCATCTCCAATTTCCGAAAATTTCAGTTTGGCCAATTTGACTTTTAATTGATCCCCTTTAAAAAGGAAGGGATTAACCTTCAGTCTATGGAATCCCATGGAATCCCGAGGTATGGGTTGCTGTTGTCCGGTGCCCTGCTGGCTGCATTGCCTCGGAACGATCCAGATCGAGAAAAACTCATGGACTACACCTATGAAACCTGGCTGCAGTGACTTTTGTGGACAGCTGGGTAAGTTATTAACTTGGATAGTATTGATAGTGTATTTTGTATGATTTTGATTGATTTTGTAGTATTATGTAATATGAATTAATGTGTGTGGTTTTCATGTATATGTGGAATATCTATGTCTTTTCAATGTTACCCTCTGGTAAACGTTAACAGTTTGCGAAGTGGAAAATCACCATCTTGAAGTTCGGTAAATCAACGAACTAAATGTGCCATGGCTTCAGTAGCTATGCAACAAATTACCAGAGGGTACGGTCCATGGTCAAGTTAGTTGGATTGTATACCCTAAGGCCCTATATGTTATCAATGTATAGTTGAACGCTTGCCTTTGACTCCCTTCCATACGTATATATATATATATATATATATACACACACATATATATATATATATATATAAATATACATATATATATACATATACATATATATATATACAATACATATGTATACATATATATATAAATATACATATATATATACATATACATATATATATATATATATACAATACATATGTATACATATATATATAAATATACATATATATATATATATATATATATATACATATACATATATATATATATACAATACATATGTATACATATATATATATATAGATACATATATATATATATATACATATACATATATATATACAATACATATGTATACATATATATATATGCATGCATGGTATATACTGTATATATATATATATATATACATTTGAAGAGGTGGATAGCGTATAGCCATGGGTTATCAACTCTATGCGTAAGAGCCATGTCACTTGATTCCCATGGGATGGACCTCTGGTAACCGAAGCAAAACCTTTGGAAAATCCATGGGAATAAATTGAATAAATGAAAGGATCCTAAAATATGGAGGTACAATATAACTTAGTATACCATATTTTTGGCCATATGCATTGTGGGGATATTCCCTGAAATTTTTGCCTTGAAAAAATGGACCCAAACAAACTATAAACTCGTGTCGGGAGCATGTTGTTCCCCCAACAGACATCCGAGGCCCTCAACTAGACGTTGGTACACATGAGTGAAATGAACATACAAGATACATAGGCCCCATATCAAAAAGTTAAGCCATGTGCCATGTGTATGTCATGTTGACGTCAAGTAAATGGTTTGGAAGATCGAATCTAAAGCCGAAGTGTTATTTTTTATGCCATGTCACGGTGCTGAGGAAATGTTTCTGGGTTGGAGACGGATGTGCGAACTGAGCAAAGATAGCGGCAGCTGTCAGGAAGACGAAGGACCGCAAGGGTGACCTGATGCAGAATTTGAAGGTGGTGGTCTCTCCAATATTGGTGATGATTCTATGCATTTATTGCTGGTTGGTGGTTTCAAACACGAATTTTATTTTCCATTTCATATATGGGATGTCATCCTTCCCATTGACGAACTCATATTTTTCAAGATGGTTATTGCACCCGCAACCAGATTGAGATAGTTCCGTGTTGCTGGCAAGATTGGAACGGAATCGTGAAAAACTACTGGCATATTTATGTACTCTGTTGTTGTTTGATGATGAATTTTCCTTTTTTTGTTGGGTAACCCATAGTCATGAAGGTAACCCCCCAGCTAAACCCCCATAGCTGGATGGTTTATGATGATCCTCCAAGACGCTGGTCCAACTACCAGGCAGATCTGGGTGTAAACGTTGATTAATTGCGAATTCGCTGCGTATGACATAGGTTTCAAGTCAAAGTGGCATCCATGGTCATATATATATATATACACATTCTGTATATAATATTATATATATATATATATATTTATATTGTAAATGTATATCTTGGTTGTGTTTTATACACAAATCCGATCTGATTTCTTTGATCATTTTTTCCGCGGCTGCCGCACTGCAAAACATGTGATCTCACCACACAGCCCACCGGAGGATTTCAATGTGGCGGTGGACAGTTCCCATGCCTGCCGCACTGGAAGTTTGACGATGACCTCACTGGAATCATTGGAAGAGGTACCGGTGAATTCAGTCGTCATGCTAGCGTGTAGCGCGTGTAGCTGAAGGATGATCCTATGTAAGGGGATATCCCCAGAAAATATGGCAAGAAATATGGTACAGTACCTCCATTTTAGGATCCTGACATTCCCATTGAAATATGTTGAAACATCTTGCAACATGATCCTAATATTTGGTGAAGGAACAGTGCCATGGCTTAGCAACTGAAACTTTTTGATCTTTGACGTACTGAAGATCCGGATTTAAAATTGCCACAAGTTTGAGGGAAACTGAAGAGAATCACATGACACGCACATCACATTCATTCGTCATTTGGCCGCTTCGTTTCCGCACTTTTCTGATAATGCACAAGTTTGTCGGGAACAACAATGTTACAACCCCATGTTCATACATGTTCATAGGACCCCAAGTCTTTTTCCAATAAATACCACAAGATACCCACCACACACTCTGTGCTGCTACTCAACAGCTTGGTAAAGTGACGCTCAAATTTTACGGCATCAAAATTCACTGATGTTTGATCAAAAACTAAGTACGAAGCCGCTCTTTCTGCTCAATTGCATTTTTGTTGGGGGGCAGGAAAGTAATATAATACGCCCAAAAAAATGCTGAAAAGTTGAAAACCTGAAAAATAAATAAACAAAGGGGGAACGCATCATTTGCATTGATTTGCAATGTCCTGGAATTACGATCCTATTTGGGGAGATCTATACATAAGAATATCAGCCAACAAAAATGCCGAAACTCTGCACAATCCATTTGTTTTTGGCGATACCCCAAGACTATCGCAGAATTTTCATAGTTGGAAGATTCACAGGAAACCTTTCTATACCCTCTGGTGGTTTAACATAGCCATGGAAGCCATGGCCCATGAAAATAGATGGTTTACCGTTTACCTATTAATAGCATGGTGGATCTTTCCATGGCAAACTGTTAGTCATAACCAGAGGGCATAGAATTCATAGTTGATTGAAATTGTTGATTGAAGAAACACCATAGTTTCCTACAAGGCTTCCGTTGAGCTTCTATGGAAACTATATGGTACCAGCAATTTCCTATTGGCCAATCCGTGGCTGGCTACCCATGGGTTCCTGCATGCAGGTTCCCCAATCGAATGAAACTATAGAATAGACTTGAATAGACTTTTTTTGCACAATTTGTGTGTTCATTCTGATTCTCATATTGTTATTCCCATCGATGCCATTGAAATCCCATTTCTTTTTGCTCTTCCAACTTTTGAGGACCCGGAAAATGAACTAGCGAGCGATACGTGAAAAAAGCCTTGCTTCAACTGTCCATTAGGCGCCGCACCGGATGGCGACGCGGATGCCCTGGCCGGGATGCTCTTCGCGGTGCTGTCCCTGGAGAGAGCCGAAAGCACTTCGCCCTGGCTGGAGGAGGCGGGACGCTGACAAGGGGAGCAGGGGTCAAAACAACCAAAAGATCTGGGGAGGATGATTTGTTTAGAGAAATTGGATGAAATTGCTGGATAGTTCGTGATCTTTCTATATCTGTGTATAGTGTTTTTTGATATTTAAACACTATTTAATGATGTTCTGTTCATATTTTAGTACTGTGTGTTTTAGCAACGAAGGAAGGGATTTGATGTTCAGGGACAGGTAGAAGTGGGGGGTGGTTCAAACCTGAAAGATCTCACCTGACAAACTAACATGTGCATTTCCTACAATATGATTTACCCTCTGGTAAACGTTTACATAACTATGGAAAATCACCATGTTTAATATTGTTTAATGGGAAAACTCACTGTTTCAATGGCCATGTTCAATAGCAAACCGTTAAATTACCAGAGGGTACAGCTATTTACAGTAGCCATCAAACATGCCATGTGAATCCGCGGAATTGACATCTAGGTGTTTTTTTCAGTTATTTCGATTTGCAATGTATGGAGAATGATATTCACCAATAGGTCATGGAGTTAGACATCAGTGTGGATGTCAAGACATACCTATCTCATCAGAAATTTTCTTTACTAAGTTTTTTTCCCAGGAAAATGAAAACACCAGTTCAATAATTGTCCAACTATGTCCAACTATGTCCAACTTAGACCATCTAAAACCATCTGCAACCTGTTTTCTGGGGTTTATTTTTCAATGCCAAAAACCTCCCTTAGTGCACTCGCCATGTCGCTTTGTCGCCATGCCAAGTGTCAGGTTGGGGAGTGGGCCTACGACACTTGCAAACAGTGCCTTATTCATTGACTTCGGCTTAGTGGTTCCATCTTTATTTCAACCCTTACTTGACAAGATTGCAGGGACTATACCTGGTACACCTCAGTATTGCTATTCCGTCAGCAATTCGGAGGTATATTGCTCTATTTGATTCGATGTTCACAGTTTTGCATGAAAATTTGCAGCGGAAACATGTGTTCTACTGCATGTTTGGTACATCATTCCATGCAAGCCGAGATTAAGTTTTAGCAAGTCAACTTCAATGTTAGGCATTGCTATGTTGGAATGATGCCTCATTTCATTTCGATCAGCAAACGGCAACCCCCACTGACGTTGATAGCTATGACCCCACGACAAAATGTAGTACTGTACATTACATTTTTCCCAATTCATATGTATCATATGTATCATATGTATTCCAGAATTGTGGTCAGCCATGGGCCAAGACCTGCAAGAAAGCTTTGTTTTAACCATGTTTAATGTCAATGATCTAGAGTTTCCCTCCAAACCTAGCATTCTTTTCAGGAGTTTCCTTCTTTTGTTGCTCTTAAATGCCCCAAACCCAGTGGCCCAGGTTCTACCTGAGCTCCACCGTCTCCTCCTCTTCGGGCGCTCATCGCATTGTCAAGCTGGGCTCCTGCTGGGGTGGCTGGGGCAGCCAGGGGCAGAATCCCAGCTACCACGCGCCCGGGGTCTATCGCATGTGCCGAGACTACATGAGACTTGGTGGTTTTACATGGGGAAAATGCCCATGGAGATGGGAAGAATCAAGCCATTCTCAGTTCGGGATTTAGAGTAGTTTAAATATATATGTTAATCTAAATGGTTTAATGATGTTGAATATATGTTATATGTTCGTTAATTATATAATAGATATTCAGTTTCAGTCCCTATTATATTATATTCATGTATATTCAATATATTCTAATTATGTTTGGACTCCCATTATGGATGACCAAAAGCCACACATCCCATGAAACTTGGAGGTGAAGTACAGCTGGGGGAGCAGGGCCCGGGCCCAGGGGGACATGCATCAATGACTTCAGCTCGCGGGTTGGAATTGCGGGTTCAGACCCCCACAGATGAGAGAATTATCCCCGTACTGCAGATTTCTGCGCAGAGATGGTGTGTTACAAGTCGACCTTTTGCCTCTTGATATGCAGAGAGTATTCTGGTGTTTTTTTTCTGGTTTTCCCACTGCATAGTTTTTTTCTGGCCATCGAGCACACCATCGCCTCAACATGGGGCTGGATTGCTAGCAGGAAATCCAGGGCAGTTCCCGTCTCCAAAAGAATTCCCCACAGCCCCCATATTGTTTGCTCTGTCCCATCAATGACAAGCAGAATTCAGCAGATCTGCAGCCTTCAGCTACAATTCTTGCGGGCTTTTCGACCTGTTCGTGGATCATAAGGAAATCACACTGTGACAAGTACGGCTGCGAAGGAGGAGATGCCCTCGAAGCTGAATGGAACAGCTTCTTGGTCGCAGCGATCCTTCAACGGGACAATTGATATCCAAACTGGTTGGTGGTTGCAAAGATTTGTTATTTTCCATTTCATATATGGATATATGGGATAATCCTTCCCATTGACGAACTCATATTTTTCAAGATGGTTAAAACCACCAACTAGTAATAGATTCCATTTTTCATGGTTAAATTGGTTAAATCTCCATTTTTCATGGTTAAAACCACCAACCAGCAAACTTGGGGTTGGTCAAAGATATATCGCTTGGAGAATGCGTGGATGATCATCCCCATGCATAAGATCCAGCTCGATCCGCGATGATCCAAAGCACATGGATGTGTCTAAAAATTGGGGGTCTCCCGGTCTCCCCCAAAATATGGGAAAATGAGGATTAACATGGATTAACCCAAAAAAGAGGAGTGGAGTACAATATCTTCGGAGCCATCTTTCTGGATTTATCTTGAGTGATTTGGTGTATCCACTTAAATCGATCCGCAGCTTTCCCGGAGCCACCAGCTGTTTGGCCAGTTTCCTTCAGTCATGGCTGGGAAATCCCAGAGTTTATTCTTTTTTTTGGCCCGTTTTTGATGCAACGGATGCAACGTGGAGTTGTCTGGCACAGAATCTGGTCCCTTGCGAAGTTGGTCAATGTCTTTCCGCCCCTGTGTTGGCTGGATCAACTGTTGCCAACGCAGTGTGAAGAGACAGCCGCAAATGGTCCTAGGGTGACTCTGAGGGTGCTCATTCCATGCCTTGACATCTTGCTCGGCCTAAGTACGCCACCAAACAATGCTGGGCCGAGGCGGCCGAGATGATCAAATCATACCATCGAACCACATTTGAAAATTCATGAATGGGTTCTCTCCACGGATTTTTCCACAGCAATCAAATTCTCTTATGGTTGACAGCATGGAGGATATATTTGAATGATTTTGAATGTAATCAATAAATGGTGGATACAACGTTCATTGCCATGTCCGATGAGTGCGGATGGCGGATGCATGCCAATGTTTGTTTGTTCTCCCCATGTTTGGGGTCCTCAGATTGTTAGACCAGAACCACGGGTGTTTAATCTGTCCCCTTTGGCCATTTGTTCTGGATCCATGGAACTTGGAATGCCCTCTGGTCATTCAACAGGCCTTGCGAAGTGGAAGCAGGGGTAAGAACGAAGTTGAATCCAACTGGTTGGAGGTCGGACGTGACATGGGTCTTATTCTTGGTGTTCTGGAACCACTTTTGGGACTGAGCTCTTTTTTATAAGTGGTCGTCTGGGGATTTGATGTGTAAGGAGTAAGGAGTAGCCACATATTTATTTAACATGTAATATATATATATACATACAATTAAACAAATAGATATAGATAGATAGATCAAAGTTTAGATTCAGATCATGATGTAGATGACAGCTTGCCACATGTGTATGTTTTCCTTGCTGGCTTTAGCATGATTTGAACATGTTTGGTCAACACGCACGCGATTTGAAATCGATTTGCTCAACATGGGTTTGTTGGAACATGGGAATCCATTGGTTAATCAGCAGTTCCTTTAGTTAAAGTATACCGTTACTGGGGGTGTATCAATTACTAAGATTAACCAGATACAATAACCGTTATATTGGGAATATCAGTTGTATCTAGGATAATTGTTAAGGTATATTATATATATATATCTAATTATATAATGACTATCCATTTTCAGACCAACCCAGTTTCTACATCATTCCCCACAGTTTCCACTCATGTCCAGCCCATTGTTTTCCACCATTTCCCTGATTTTTGGCGCAAATTTCTGCGTATAAGTCTCTTTAATAACCAATCAATCAAGGTATCTTAATAATTTTATTGGTTCATATTATCATATGTTCCTTAAGTACGTCTTCCCCAAAAAAAATAAAACACGACCGAGCTGCGCTCAGGATTGATCGACACGAGCTACAAGATGTTCGACGCCACGCAGTGCGAGTCCAGCGGCCTGATCCCCAACTGGGCCAAGGTCTACGAAGACGGGTGCCTCGGCCGTCGTGAACGTGTTCCTGGTGAGGCCTTGTGGTTAACAAGATGAGATATGTAGCAATCCCAACAAAAGATTTGCAAAGTTGGAAACTTAGAAATGATGAGGAAATTACCCTCTGGTAATTTAACATAGCTATTGAAAATGGCCATTTATAGTGAGTTTTCCCATTAAAAATGGTGATTTTCCATAGCTATGTTAAATTACCAGAGGGTATATGGAAATTATGGGAACATCTCATCGAACTACTGGAGATGTTTCTCTATATTTTTGGTGATTGCTAGATATTGCTTGTTTTGTTGGACATGGTCTACATGATCTACATGTTATTGATTGCATGTCTGGTATTCTCAAACGACAAGCAGGCTCTCTACTATCTACAATGTCTTTATGTGTTTTGTTCCACGGTATGTTGAAAGCTCTTGTTTTATCTTGTTTTGAGGTATACCGTATATGATGTGTTGATATTTGAGAATCGGGTTGAAGTATCTGACACGCAATGTTTGTTTTTCAATGAGACAAAATTGTGTCCTCCAAATCCATTAAAAAAAATGGATCTTGGTTTCGAAATATACTGTAGATTACTGTAGTATGTATATGATTGTATATGTAAAAGGTACGTTCACCGTGGTACATGCAGAAGATTCCTGGACAAACAAAGTCGTGTCTCCAGTTCGATGTCTTGATGTTTTTAGAGGATACGGCACCTTTATTGCTAGATTCTACGAGAAAATGACTCGGAAGCCCCAATTCTTGTTGCCAAGAAATTTAACATAGCTATGGAAAATGGCCATTGAAATAGTGAGTTTTCCCATTAAACATGGTGATTTTCCATAGCTATGTTAGTTTACCAGAGGGTATCAACATATCAAAAATTCCAAAAAATCCAGGCATTTGATCCACCATAGGCAAAGCCTCCGTGCTGAGACGGGATTTTCTGGCAGCGGAACTCCAGGTGCGGAACGCGGTCGGCGGAGATGATTTGTTTCATTTTTCACGCCATGTCAGATTAGACATGAGTTGCATGTTTTGCAATCTTCGGACCTTCAAAAATAAGCAAACAATAGATAACAATAGCAAATATAGTAATATACTGTTATAAATGGATCTGCATGTCTTGACTGCATCTAGAGTTGACTGGTTCCTGCTAACATGCTGCCGGGCTTTACCAAAGAGGAACATTTTCGCGGTGCTTTTCAAGCTGCTGACCGGCTGTGGAGCGACACCGTACTCCATCATATGCTGGAGGTCAAGGTACCTACAAAATTGGTTACCCCCACCGTACAAAATCAGTTGTTAGCGCCGAAAGCAATGCCCCATTTCTACCAGGTACCCTTTGGTAAACAAACAGTTTGCTATTGAACATGGCCATTGATTTATAGTGAGTTTTCCCATTAGTAGCATGGTGGATCTTTCCAGTTCGTTTTCTGTAAACGTTTACCAGAAGGTACCCCAAGGATACCCTCTGGTAAACTAACATAACTATGGAAAATTACTTTTTTTATGGGAAAATTCACTATAGCTAATTTCACCATATTCAATTGCTAGAATCTGGGATGGCATTAGGTACTGAGACATGTATTGGAATCAACTCTTAGGGACATGAAGAATCCAGTTCTGGTTGGAATGATTCCCATGTATTATATAGATGGTATAAACATGATGACTAAATGGGATATTAATGGGAATAATAATCCCAACTGGTATACTGGTTGGTGCTTTGGAGCATTTTTTCCCGTTCAGTTGGGAATAATAATCCCAACTGACGAACTCATATGTTTCAGAGGGATAGGTTGAAACCACCAACCAGTATAAGTTTGCCCATTCAACTGCTGGCCCGGACACAGGTGCTGAGTATGGTGCTGAAGCCAGTCGAGCTGTGCCTGGCCGTACATTGCACGTATGCTATCATGTCATTAATTTGTTTACTTACTATATATATATATATATATTTATACATACTGTATACCATATATATATAGATATATATGTATAATAATTGTATGACGTATAGTATATTCCATATGATATACCATATTATTGAACCATGGATTCATTTACCAGCAAGTTCCACTGTATTTCATATTCGCATTGTATCCCCAGTCTTCTATTCATATAACATCATATACCATAAAATATAAATATATTCATAGTTCATACCTATGTTTTATTAGCATGCATGTCTTTGTTTGATATGGAACTAGCAATCCTGGAATAGAAAGAATACGTATATGATAGATAGAATATGGAAATATATTGTCGATTGGTAGTTGATACTTCATATAATATCATATACCATATATATATATGTACTTACCGTATAGCACATATTCCCAGTACATATATTTTTACATATTCTTTGCACATATTATACCATATACCACATACCATATACCACATATTCCCACTATATACTTACCGTATACCATACCAGTAGTACCGCACAAGGCGGTGGCGGAAGTTTCAAAAATAGGAAACCTATAGGAGAGATTGATTGTTGTGAATCAGGGATGGCAGAGCGAATCCACTGATGGACCGAAAGGTGCTTGAGGTCTCCTCTCTTTCTCTCTCTTTCTCTGACTATCTACCTACCTACCTATCTATCTTCTATGTATCTGTCTATCTATCGATCTATCTACCTCTCTCTCTCTCTCTTTCATCTAATTACCTATCTATCTACCTATCTATCTATCTGTCTGTCTGTCTATCTGTCTAGCTGTCCACCTGTCTATCTGTCTATCTATCTGTCTGTCTGTCTACCTGTCTACCTGTCTATCTGTGGTGCAGTGTCATTCAGTGTAATGTAGTGTAGTGTAATGTAGTGTAGTGGAGTGTAGTGGAATGTAGTGTAGTGTAGTGTAATGTAGTGTAGTGTAATTTCGTGTAGTGGAGTGTAGTTGTGTAGTCGTAGGTGTAATTGTAGTGTAGCGGAGTGTAGTGTAGTGAGATGTAGTGAAATGTAGTGGAAGGTAGTGTAGTGTAGTGTAATGTAGTGTCGTGGAGTGTAGTGTAGTGGAATGTAGTATAGTGTAATGTAACTTCGTGTAGTGTAGTGTAATGTAGTGTAGTGTAGTGTAATGTAGTGTAGTGGAGTGTAGTGTAGTGTAATGTAGTGTAGTGTAGTGTAATTTAGTGTAGTGGAGTGTAATGGAGTGTAGTTGTGTAGTTGTAGTTGTAGTGGAGTGTAGTGGAGTGTAACGTAGTGTAGTGTAGTGTAAGTTAGTGTAGTGGAGTGTAATGGGTAGTTGTAGTTGTAGCGGAGTGTAGTGTAGTGTAATGTAGTGTAGTGTAGTGTAAGTTAGTGTAGTGGAGTGTAATGGAGTGTAGTGGACTGTAGTGGAGTGGAATGTAGTGTACTGTAGTGGAATGTAGTAGTGGAGTGTAGTGTAGTGTAATGTAGTGTAGTGTACTGTAAGTTAGTGTAGTGGAGTGTAATGGAGTGTAGTGGAGTGTAGTGTAGTGTAATGTAGTGTAATGTAGTCAAGTGTAGTCAAGTGTAGTGGAAGGTAGTGTAGTGCAGTGTAATGTAGTGTAGTGGAGTGTAGTGTAGTGTAGTGTAATTTAGTGTAGTGGAGTGTAGTTGCGTTGTTGTAGTTGTAGTGTTGTGGAGTG